AGATAGTGTATTTTTCCAATTATATTCTTGTATTAGAGAATTATATTTTCTTAATAGTACTCAATTCTCAAAAAATATCTAATAAATATGGGTAACTAATTAATAATTATACCTTCTATTTAGTATATTATTTTTCTTAATGGAGTTGAAATAAGCTAAAGTGATACTTATTTTAGAACGAAAGAGATTTATAATTCCTTTTATTAAATATTTGCTTTATGCAATATGTCATGACTTTTCATAATTGAGGTGTTTGTAGTCTTAAAGAACCGTAAAATATGAAAAATTTAACTAACCATCTAAAATTTCTAAAAGACAAATACTTTGGGATAATTATTTTGAAAAATCAAGACAAATAATTTGAAACGGAAGGAGCATTATATTTTAAATAACACTTTTTTTTTTTTTTTTGGGTTAATAAATAACTCTTTGTTGGTCAGTTGTCAAAACGATGAGGATATACGGTGGCTCCTTTGTATTTATCTCATTTTTGTATATGATGTCATATAGCCACCTAAAAATAATAGTGGAACATTTTATTTTATTTTATTTTTGCATTTCCTGGAAAAACTAAACAAAAAAAATACAATTTTTATTCTTATTTCTCTCCAATAAATAACATTTTATTTAATGATAAAGTAAATTAAGACAAAGATAATTAATTTTCATCTACATCTTATATATGAATAAATATTTTTATTATTTTATTCTTATTTCTCTCTAATAAGATTATTATATTGTTAATTTATAATTTAAATAATTAATTAAAGAGGTTGAAGAATTCCTTGGCAGATTTCTCAAGCGTTAATTTTTTAGACAAAGGAATGGAAATTTTCATTTTCCGAAAAAGACGAAACGCTACCATTTATAAGCTTCTTATTTATTCCCTTTGGTCATTTTCAAATGACTTTTTATCTTTTTAAAAATAAGTATCATTTTTATTTATTATTTTTCATCAACTTATTCTTGCTATAATAAATTGTGAATGGTTTTCTAAGAGATCTTTCAATTATTCTTGAAGATAAAGGGCAATCAAGTCAAATAATTTCTTTAATTAATTAAATTTCTAAATGGATATGCTACACCAAAACGAAAAACATTTGAAAATGATAGAGGAATAAAGTAACTCTTGGTTCACTTTTACTAGTGCACTATTCTAAAAATAGGTTTCATTTTTACTTAGCAGTTCTAACATATCAAGAAAATATAACATATTTTTTCTTCATATTTTATCCTTAATATTAATTATTTATTTCTCCAAATCTAATGTTAAACATCAATTAATAGGAGTACTGGTGTGGTAAAATAGTCATATTGTTTTCTTAATATGTGTGACAAGTAAAAGTAAACGGAGAGAGTACTTTTTAGAGTGTAAATTACGAAAGAGTTATTTGATAGGGTATATAAAAATAGTGTCGAATGGGATGTATCAATAATGTTGTCATTAGTAATGTTGATATAAGCTAGTTATGCTAAAATTATTTCTTATGCACAGTTTGATTTGGCGCATTAAAAAAGTTATTCGTTTATAAAAATATCCTCCATAAATATGATGAAAAGGATATGAAAAAGATTTTGAGAAGCAATTGAGTCTTTAACTGTGATAATACATGCATTAGGGGTCATTTGATAGTTAAATAAGAAATAAGTTATCCATATATTAATTTTCATAAAACTTATGTGAAATTTAATAAATAGAGATAAATCCATAAATAACACCATATGATGGCACTATTTTCATCCTATCAATCAAACCCAAATTAAAGAACTCTATTATAGACTTTGTTAAGTACCCATATATATGAGTGGCCTATATTATATATTGTGAAAAAAACATCAAATAACAAATCTACCCTTCTATGTATTTATTGGTGATTTATAATTGAGCTACACTATACTATTTTATTTTATTTTTTTGGATACTTCTTGGTAGGTTAGCCCAAGGTTAGCCTATGAAAGTGTTAGGAATTTTAATAAGAAGACAGAAAAAATCATAAAGGGCTGTTAGGGGTTTTAATATATATTTATCCTATGTAAAGGGATTTAAAAATTTAAATATATTAAAGATTTATTTTTATTTTATTCATGTGATAAGCATTTTCAATTCAGTTGAATATGTTCCTTGCATATGGTTAAGCTATTATTGATTTCCACGATCAAATTTAGGTAGACAGCTTACGCGCAACTTAATTACTTTTTGAAGCTCCAAATGTTAAGAGATGTATTTAAAAACTATTCAAAATTTTCTTTTAACCTAATTTAAGGTTTCTCACTAGCTAACTCTCAATATGCATTTGATACATAACTATGTTATATACATAACAATATACATAACTATGAATATGATACAAATTGATTTTGTTATAAAACACTAGTGTTTATGTAGCAATAGTAATATTTGATAGTGTCTACATATACTAGCCTTCTACTAGTTGAATAAGATTGGGTGTATATATCGCCATCGGTAGTAAAAGATAACGAAATTTATAATAGTTGTGTATCCAATACATAAATGATACATACTAATTTGTGTTTCAATAGATTCGAGTTATGTATCAAAACTACTATTTGAAAACGATATAGTGTACATGATAAAATTGTAATGTATCACAAAGGTGAAACGAACGAATTATACATTATTTAAGAATCAATATCAACAAGATACATTAAAAGATTTATTGAATGCAACAAACAAACAAAAAAAATCAATAATTTGACCGGCTAAAGGCGAAAAAAAAGAATGATGAAGAAATCCTTCCACACTTTCTCCTTTGCTCTGTATCAATTCTTGTAGCTTTTTTTCACTTTAAAAAATGGCGTCACCCATGGATCTCGACCCAAAGCCCTTACCGGAGCTACCAACGACTCTTGATAAAATTGTAGTGTATCATAATGTTGAAACAAATGCATTATACATTAGTTTAAGAAGCAAAAACAACTAGATACATTAAAAAACTGAAACTATATGTATCGGAAAAAAATATATGAACAACAAAAAATTGGAAAAAAAAGTCGACAATCTGATCAGCTGAAAGCAAAAAAAAAATGATGAATAAATCCTTCTACACTTTTTCTTTTGCTCTATAGCAATTCTCGTAGTTTTTTTTCACTTTCAACAATGATGTCACCCATGGATCTCGACCCAAAGCCCTTACCGGAGCCATCAACAACTCAATCGTTTTCCCTTTTTTGGGGAGTTTTTTCTACAATCAATTTTGAAGTTGAAGACAATGCATCCTTCTCCGACTAAATTTGTAGATGAAAAAACTAAAAAAACTAAAAATAAAAATCGATACCCATGAAGTGGAAAGTAAAAAATGGATGAAGAAAATCTACCTCTTTAATAACTTGCAATCATAAATCGGAAAGAAAAAAAATTGAAATTCAAAAATAGAGTGATGGAGATAATTGGTGATACCATGGAGTGATTTTGAGCATGAAAAAAGGGGGGGGGGGGGGAAATCTTTTGGTGATTATTTACAATGATGTATCTGAAAAAGTGAGAGAAATTATGAAAAAGAGGAATTTTTATAATTTTTTAGAAAGGTAGAAAATGATAGAAAATAGGGTAAAAAATGATGTGTAATGTTATTTTTCCATTAAAATATCTTAAGAAAAAAACCCAAACTATTATTTATTACTTTATATGACTTATTCTGCCATCGTTGTAGCAACCGAAGTGCATAATTATTTAAAGTTGGCTAGTCAAGTTTAGGCCTTGGAAACGTGAAAGGAAATCCTTAAAGCTTTTTTAAAGTTTGATTTTAAAATTTGATATTCTGCCAATGTGATATTGTTTGAGTGAATGACATATTAACAGACTCAAAAAAAAAAAAACTCATATAAAAAAATTGGAATTGTACTTAGAGGGACATTTGAGTTGGTCGGGATTTGAGAACTCCATGTTCAGTCATTAAAGCTTCTTCAAAACTCAATTTTAAAATTTAATATGCCGCAAACGTGAATCCTTTCAAGTGAATAATATATCAAAATACTCGAAACATTGAGAGGAGCTCAGATCTAAAATTTGGGATTGTTTAGAAAAGATTTGAGTTGGTTAGAATTGAAAACAAAAATTGTATATGTAAATATCGCGCTTGTGTGTGTAAATATTGTATAAACAACATATATAGATGTATATACATCTCTGATATATATATATATATATATATATATATATATACACACAATTATACACTATGTATACAATATCAATACGTTACATATACATGTGATCATTTTATCGAATTGTTTTTGTCACATGTACAATTACGTAAGTAACCCTTTTCAGCGCTTAGATCTTGATTATTCAAATCTTAACAATTAAATATTTTTTGTTGTTTAGATTTTATTTTAAAATATTATTCATGTATTCAAAAACAGCCCCATGACATAGTGTATCATGAAAAGTCATTTTTATCTAAATCATCATATCACAAAATTGAAATTAGCTAGTCAATATATGTAATTAATTGGTGTAGGAACTAAACAATAAAAAATTGACGAATTCATTTTGCGAAAGTGGACATGTCAAATACTGTTTAATGTTTCTCATTTTACACAGACAAACAACATGAATTAATGTCAAACAATAAGTTAAATGATAAATAAATGTCTAATGATAGTGACTTGATGGGCAATTTTGTTGACAATATTGTCAAATAAAATTACTCCCTCCCATCCATTTCAGTGGTCAAGTCGTCACGATAACAACTCAAAATAATTGGTACAAGAATCTATATAATTTTAAAAATTAAGATAAATTAATAAAGGGGGCATATCGGTTGGTTCGGTTATGAAGTTATCGGTTTGTAGATAATCTAAATCGTTGAAGAAGTAAATATGATTGTCTTATCGGTTATTGATCGTTATCGATTTAACCATTAATATTTGTCACAAATATTTTTTTGTTGAAAATCACTTTGAAACAAGGTGAGAAGCTAAATGAATCATGCACATGAGTTGACAGATTACATATTGTTCAAAAGCAAACACAAAAACATTGTAGAATAATCGAGAGTTTGAGACAACTAGAAAGAAAAATATGAAACTAAATCGTAAGTCAAGAACTTTATATACCAAATGGTATAAATATTATTTATTAATTTACTGCCGGGTTAGCAATTAACCCGTTAAGAAAAAGCTTCAAACTATTAAGAACCGATAACCCGATAATTAAAATATATTAAAACCGTCACCGAAACTACTAAATCAATAACTCATTATCGATACACCAATAACTTTTTTCGATTAGAGTTATCAATTTCAGTTCGATTTTGAACAACTCTAAAATTATCTATCTGATTTTGATCAAACACAATTTTAACAAAATATAATATCATGTGCTATTAAACTGAAGATAGATTAAATATATTAAAATGTTCTTTATTCTTTTTATCTTAAAGTTATATATAATGTGAGAAGTTAATATTTAACATTTAGCAAAGTAAAATAGAATAATAAGAAAAATAAATTAAAACGGATGGAATAACTGGCCGACTCAATTCTTAGAACTTGTCAAATAACTTTAAATCTTTGGAAATAAATAAAAAATTTATGCTTTCTAATCACATTGAAGCTGCATGCTATCCACACTTGATTGAATTAATTAACATTCCAACCTATACTGGAATTAATAAGCATGTCCTGCAAATTTCATCTGTCGTAGCTTTGATGGACAGAGTTATCTAATATGTATTGCTGATGGGAGGTGATAAATATTTCGTAAACTTAAATTGAGATGCGTAAAAATTAGCTCGAGCACCATGATAGTAATAATAATTTTAAAAAAAGTAGTCCTACAAAATTAATATATGTAGAAGTTTTTCTGATATTGTTGGGGGTTAGCACTTAATCATATGAAATTGATTGATTGGACTAGTTAAGTGTATGACTTGTCAAACGGCTAACAAGTAACAAGTATGTACTTCATTTGTTTCGATCTTATCAATAAATTTATTTGATAATATTGGTAACTACCTGACATCATATAATATATAGTGTATATAGAAAAAAATACTACTCCATTGATCCGATGAGAGAGCGACACGTTGAAATCATACTACTCTGTTCGTCCAATTTCGTTTGTTCAGTATTGACTTGGCTTATCACTTAAGAAGCAATAACAGAAAGATAATTTTACAATATCCCCTTTGAATATGTGGTTGAAGTCTATTTTGATTGGATTCTTTAAAAATTAATGTCTATGAATGTGTGTCAGATCCTTTAAAAGTAGCATTTTTTTTAGGGATTCGTCATGGATACGATAATATTTTATGAGAGTTCGGCAACACATAAACTCAAGTTTAAGCATTTATGTATGAACTTCAGCCATATGAAACTACATACACCAAATGTATGAAAACAAAACCCTTAGGACCTTATTTCAAATATGATAATTCGATATCAAGGTGTCAAACGACTTTTTCAGTAGTTCCAAAATGAATAGTATTGTCCAAATAGGAAACCCTTGTGAAATTTTTACAAATTCTTGTTACTCCATCCATATCTTTGGCCCAAAACTTTATTGGGTTGGGTATCGTTTTATAAGGCCTGCAGTCAGAAATTAATGAGCTGATATATAGTGCTAAGGATAAATCATTTTGGATTATATTGCAATAAGCAATCACTCTATCTGGCCCAAAATAAGTTTAGCTTTAATGATGATTGTTATGAAAATAAACATTAGCTTTACTATATACATGTTGTGCAACGGTTTATTGTGTTAAAAGAGCAAGTAATTTTGCAATAAAATTGAAAGATGATGGAATTAATTAGGACGTATTTACTGTTAATTAACTAATGTATAAATATCCGCTTACATTGATAAATCACTATATAGTGACTTCAGTTTCAATCCAAAACCTTTTATATCGATCTAGCGCAGCAGCTGATATTTCATCGTCTATACAAACTAAATTGGGAACTTAATTTGCAAGACGATAGTAAAAAAATCATATATTGATCCTAATGATTACTCTATAAATAGATCAATTTATTTAATCAGAACATGAGATCATGTATTAATCATATGATTACTTAATTATTCAAGATATATTCACTAATCATCCAAACTTGACAGATTGTATAACTTGAGGTAGTAATTTCTTTACTTATATATGAATAGTACTAATTTTAACCATTTGTGAGAGGAAGAACTCCTGCATTTTCAAGAAATGAAATATTATATGTATTCTTCATTGAATTTATAGTTCTACCTTCAACTGACTGGCATATTAATTCTGGTTAGTATTAAGCGCCCTTAACTATGTCAAAAGTTGTAGTTTTTCTTAACTTAGTACACTAAACATGTCACAAAAGTTTCTCTTAAAGTTAGTTCATAAATGACATGTTCGATCATGAGTCTGTTAATTCAAAAGAAAAAAACATGAAGATCAAGTTAAAATCAGACTTACAAGAGCACTAATAATACATGTAAAACAAAACTTCAAACTGTAGACACACTCATAATTACCTCCAGTTTAATTTCTTCTCTTTTCACACTCTTCTACAGACTTCTCTCTTCATTTATCAACTAAAATATCGATTTAGTTAATTTAAGTTATACATACTTCCTCTTTTATTAACTTCTTTTTACACATTTTACAAGTACATTAACATAAGTTAATTAGCTCTCTCTCATCTATAATACTAGCTAGCTTCTGTGTAGTACATATTTGTTCCATCTGTTTTCTGCAAAGCTAGTAAGCTGCAACCGTTGATGCTCCGGCTCCTACTGTTTCTCTCTCTTCGTCTTCGTCTTCCTCTCCTTCGGCTTCCCACATGAAGTGTGCATACGATCCCAACACAGTGCTGTTATCACAACAATTAGTTTCATTTCAAATTCTATATCTTAGATCCGTCTTTGATCTATGAAAGAGATTTGTTTCTTATCAAAAAATCATTTACCAGTCATTAGGAGAAGCGTGAACAGCTTGATCAAAGTAAGATTTGGCTCTGTTTTCGTCTCGCTGCGTCTCCCAAACTAATTTTCCATACAGAGAAAGCACTTCTCCGTCCCCAGGACTTGCAAGTATAGCTCTTCCGTAGCATTCTTCAGCCTTCACAAAATCTCTCTCCACCTTCAATTATGTAAATTATTAACAAATCAATACAAAATCTTCTTATATTACAACTTTCAATAAATATAGAAAACATTAAATTACTAAATTACACTACTTACCTCATGCAAATACTTGCCGTAGTTTCTAAGAAGAAGAGAATTCATAGGATCTGAATTCAGCATTTCCTTATAATATGCTCCAATTTTCCTTGGATCTGAGTTTCCGCCGGTTAAACTATCTGCATCGAACTCATCCCTACCGCCAAATTTTCTGTTTTTGGTGGAGCCGATTCCACCGCCGGGAAATCCAGGCTCATCGACAGGAATACTGTTCCTATGCCAGTCTCCGGTGTAACTCCGTCCATCTTCCGTCAAACTCAGTGATCCAATACTTTGCAAAACCTCCAACTCATTCTGTTCAGAACCGCAATCCTCCTCCGGTATTATTGACGATAATGATGTCGATCTAATCTTACTCAACTTTCTAGTTACACTCGAACCTTCAAAACCCGACCCAATCACGTCGGATTCAGATGAAACCCGGCGTATACCGCGACGATTGACTTCCGAATTCAGAGAGATCATAGGAGAAGAACATCCTTTCTTCTTCTTCTCTCCGATAAACACTTTACCAATAGATTCACGAGCGGGAACAGAAACTCTAGGAGAACCGGGAACAACCGCCGGAATTGAGCCGGAACCGGTTCGGAAAAGGACAGTTTTCATACTGAAACAACTCCTTTTTTTTTTTTTTGAACAACTTATATTTATTTGAGTGAGAAAACTTTGAAAAAGTAGAAGGGTCTGACAGTGGTTATATATGTTTACAAGCACCGTTAAATTCGCAGACGGCGTTGAAATGGAGAAACGTTGAGTGATTGACACGTGTGGTGTTAGCACGTGAGAGGGTACAGCAAGAACGGTGGAGCCGGCGACGGAGTGAACTTTTTGTAGGGTAAATTGGAAGCTTCTACACGTGTCATGTAAAAAGCGTGACTATAGTGACTTTGCTAGTTGCCACGTAGACAAAAAATGACAATAAACTAGAGGGACTATTGTTCAATTATTGTACGGAATTTTATATATTTTTTGTATGCCCCTTGATTTAGTTGCCCATGGCAAATTGGGCTGTTGGTTTCTGTACTTCTTTGGATTTTTGCTTTACTTAACTATTGTGTGGTTTGATCAAACAAGACGATTTTCGTACAGTAACAAGATTGTTGCAAATTGGAATGATCATTAGTGTGACAAATTCAATTTAGATCGGAAAGAAAGAAGATCAAAAATTAAGATAGAAGAGTAAGATATTATTTCTAATTATAATTTTTATAGTATTATTTAGATTATTTTAACTCGGCTTAGTCATTTAAAGTGATCAGTAGTCTATTAAATAATTAATTAAATTCATTTATATCAATTTAAATTAATCTAACACGAACATTTGTCATCTGATAATACATACTTCTTTCGTTCTAATTTATGTGGCACTTTTTGGATTTCGAGATTCAAACAAGTCTATCTTTGACCGTAATTTTTTTTTACATATTTTAATTCGTAAATTTTTTATACATATTTTAATTATTTTGAATTGCCTATTAGTGTGATTAATAGTATTTTTTACGTAGTTTACATGTATAAATTTCATTTCAAAAAAATTAAAGATTTCATGCGTAAATTTTCGATCAAACTTAAATTGTTTGACTCTCGAAAAACAAAAAGCGATGTAGTAATAGTTTTTGCTTTTGTGAAGATACAATTTAATTAGAGTGAGTTTAGGCTCCTTCTTAATCACGCAGTGTCCTTTTCACTGTATTTGGATTATAATTGGATCGGTACATCATGGAAAATAATGTCAATTGCGCCAGCGAGAGAAAATTACGTAAATGATCCTTTATATTTAAAGATGGATTCAATAAAATCCCTCAAGTATCGAGTTCATTGTTTTAGTCTTGTATGTTTATAAAAAATTAACATTTTTGGTTTCCGTAAAATATTTGGTGAAAATGGCTGTTAGATTTGACAATAATAATAATAATAATAATAAAATTAGCGGGAAGTCGGAAACTTACCTATAAAAGTACAACTTTTGTAGATTTGTTACTTTTAATTTATTTTGAAATTCTGATAGAGCTTTTTGATGTATAATTTGTGATAGTATATTTTAGAATTTGATAAGATTTTCTTCATATTTATAGTTAAGGCCTGTTATTCATTGTTTTCATCAAATCAAATCGATCGAGTTTAGAAAGTTTATAATGAAAATTAAAAGTGTTAATTTTTAACAAATTTAAAAGAACCAAAACTTACTATTCAATGCATAATTAAAAACCTATTTTGAGCCTACCCTCGAACCTAAGAAAACATTTTTTTTTTCATTTTCTCCACCAACTGCACCATGCTTCAAAATTTTAAATAATTGTTTGACATTTCACTTTCAAAAATGGTATATTAACCATTAAAGTTATATATGGGGATCTGTATATATACTAGATACAGGATTCCGCGCCAGCCGGGACCTAATATATGTTACTTCGTTTGTCTCATTTTACATGAGATAGTTTGACTCAGCACAGAATTTAAGAAAATGAAGACTTTTAAAACTTGTGATCCAAAATGAATGATAAAAATTTGTGTTGCTGTAAATTATTTCATTAAGGGTAAAATAAACATTTTATGGTTAAATTATTACTCCCTTTGTCCCATTTTATGTGAGTTAGTTTGATTCGGCACGAAATTTAAGAAAGAAAGAAAGATTTTTAAAACTTGTGATCCAAAATGAGTGATAAAAATTTGTGTGGCTGTAAATCATTTCAATAAGGGTAAAATAGACATTTTGTAGTTAAATTGTTACTTAATATATAAATATATCATTTTTTTTGGGACTTACTAAAAAGGAAAGTAAGTCACATAAATAAGGACAAAAAGAGTACTTAATATAGAAATGTTTCATTTTTTTGGAGATTATTGTTCAATTATTGTACGGAACTTTATATATTTTTTGTATGCCCCCTGATTTAATTACCCATGGCAAATTAGGCTGTTGGTTTCTTTACTTTGTATTTTTGCTTAACTATTGTGTGGTTTGATCAAACAAGACAATTTTTGTACAGTAACAAGATTGTTGCAAATTGGAATGATCATAAGTGACAAATTCAATTTAGATCGGAAAGCAGAAGATCGAGAATTATGATAGAAGAGTAATATATTATTTCTAATTATAAATTTTATAGTATTATTTAGATTATTTTTACTCAGCTTAATCATTCAAAGTAATCAGTAATCTATTAAATAGTTAATTAAATTCATTTATATGAATTTAAATTAATCTAACACGTTCATTTGTCATCTGATAATACATACTTCTTTCGTTCTAGTTTATGTGGCACTTTTTGGATTTCGAGATTCAAACAAGTCTATCTTTGACCGTAAATTCTTCATACATATTTTAATTATTTTGAATTGCCTATTAGTGTGATTAATAGTATTTTTTACATAGTTTACAAATATATAAATTTCATTTCAAAAAAGTTAAAGATTTCATGACCAGATTTCCGATCAAATTTAAATTGTTTGACTCTCGAAAAAGGAAAAGCAATTGAGTAATAGTTTTTGCTTTTGTGAAGATACAGTTTAATTCGAGTGAGTTTAGGCTACTTCTTAATCACGCAATATCCTTTTCACTGTATTTGGATTATAATTGGATCGGTACATCATGGAAACTAATGTCAATTGCGCCAACGAGAGAAAATTACATAAATGATCCTTTATATTTAAAGATGGACTCAATAAAATCCCTCAAGTATCGAGTTCATCGTTTTAGTCTTGTATGTTTATCAAAAATTAACATTTTTGGTTTCCGTAAAATATTTGGTGAAAATGGCTGTTAGATTTGACCAAAATAATAATAATAATAAAATTAGCGGGAAGTCGGAAACTTACCTATAAAAGTACAACTTTTGTAGATTTGTTACTTTTAATTTATTTGAAAATCTGATAGAGCTTTTTGATGTATAATTTATGGTCTTATATTTTAGAATTTGATAAGATTTTCTTAATGTTTATAGTTAAGTCATGTTATTCATTGTTTCCATCAAATCAAACCGATCGAGTTTAGAAAGTTCATAATGAAAATTAAAAGTGTTAATTTTTAACAAATTTAAAAGAACCAAAACTTACTATTTAATGCATAATTAAAAACCTCTTTTGAACCTACCCTCGAACGTAAGAAAACAATTATTTTTTTTTCATTTTCTCCACCAACTGCACCATGCTTCAAAATTTTAAATAATTGTTCGACATATCACTTTCAAAAATGGTATATTAACCATTAAAGTTATATATATGGGGATCTATATATATACTAGATACAGGATCCCGTGTCAACACGGATCAATATATGTTACTTTCTCTGTCTCATTTTATGTGAGATAGTTTGACTCGGCACAGAGTTTAAAAAAGAAATGAAGACTTTTAAAACTTGTGGTCCAAAATGAATGATAAAATTTTGTGCTGCTGTAAATCATTTCATTAAGGGTAAAATAAACATTTTATAATTAAATTATTACTCCCTCTGTCCCATTTTATGTGAGGTAGTTTGATTTGGAACGAAGTTTAAGAAAGAAAGGAAGACTTTTAAAACTTGTGGTCCAAAATGAATGATAGAAATTTGTGTGGCTGTAAATCATTTCAATAAGGGTAAAATAGACATTTTATAGTTACATTGTTACTTAATATAAAATGTGTCATTATTTTTGGGACTTACTAAAAAGGAAAGTAAGTCACATAAATAGGGACAGATGGGGTACTTAATATAGAAATATGTCATTCTTTTGGGGACTAACTAAAAAAGAAAGTAAGTCACATAAATTGGTACAGAGGGAGTAATATTTTTTGTTTCAATTTATGTGATATCATGGAACTTGAGAAGTTATAAAAAAAATTATATGATTTTTAAAAATATTATAAGTTGTTAATTATTGTAATTTATAATTTTTTTTGTTTCAATTTTGTGACATATAAAGGATTTCAAAAATTAACCATTTTATGTCTTTTAAATATATTAAATTATTAATTATTGTAATTTATAGCACTTTTTAAATTTTCAAATAATATACTACTATGTTACTTTCATATCCCAATTTATGTGGCATTGATAGATTTTGTGGAGTCAAGTGATTTTCTTACATGTAATTTAATTTTTTTTAGATTGTAAATTATTGTGATTTATTGTACTTTTTACGTCAATTTCAAATAATATACGTTTATCATCCAACGCATATTATGTAGTACCAATAGAATGTCAAGAGTCAATTGAATTTTTTTATATAACTTTTAAATATTTACGTCAAGTTCAAATAATAAATGTTTATCATCTAACCCATTTTATGTGGTACCAATAGAATGTCAAGAGTCAATTAAATTTCTTAATATAATTTTTAAATTATTATATTATTAATTATTATAATTTATAGTATTATTTATATAATTTTTGAATCTATAACCAACAAAAAAAAAAGGAAATATTACTATTAAAGGAAAAACGGAATGAGAGCCGACATAGTATAGTGAGCCCACACAGTTCAACAAAAGAATAACTTTTTGATTGGATATGAGTCATTAGGTAAAATATTGATTGGTTTTTTTGATTTAATAAAGAAAAAGTACACCTTTAGGGCAAGAGATTACAAAGACCTAAAGAATAAAAAAGCAGAAAGTTTCGAAAATGCCCTTTGTCGTTGCCGAAGACATGCCTATTTGTAGACTCTTCTAC